GCTAAGATTTTGGATATTGAAAGCCACATCAGGTATAGGAAATACAAGGAAGCGGCCCATATGGCATGCTCGGCCAACCCAATTAGCCAACCCAGTTTGGACTTTTCTCCCATTTGGATCCCCATTATCAGCAATGAAGTCACCAATTCACATAGAAGATCTGTATGATGTGATATATGCTTTTATTTATTTCTATTAAGTTCTAAATTAGATAGACGCGATTTACTCCATTGCTGACGCTGGTTAAACACTATTAGTTTTTGTTACTAGTTCCTCTTTCTATTCCATGCCGTGGGGTCATGGACCTGGTCATGAGTTTACTTTCGTGGCATAAATTTCTACAGATCTATCTATCCTGGTTCCACGCTTGTAAGTGTTTGCTACAATTTGTTATGAATATTTTTCTTATTAGCTCTCATGGACTTAGCCTGGTCTCAGGTGTTTATAATCTTCATGTTTTGTGACATTGGTTCGTCCAGTGATTGAGGCAAGCTCTTTCTAAGGGATGTAACTGAATAGGTGTTTTCCTTCACCTGAGGATGGAAACAGATCCAGTTTCCGAAACGTCGTGTTTTTGTTATCTTAAAAACCAGGACGATGGATAAAGTCCAAAATCCCAACATATCACTAAATAAATAGACACGATACATGGAAACAAAAAACAAATTCTGTGGTTTGAATTCGTAAGCGAACTATACGTTCTCCGTTGTACTCCTTATGCTCTTCTGTACTCCTGCAAATCCAGTTTTGAAATTCGACAATTCCTAGTGACGGACCCCATGGAAAACACATTTCTTCTGTTGTCCTAAAATTCGTGTTTATTGGCTCATTACCTAGTAACGGATGTCCTTATATTGATGAAAGCGTAACTCCGGGAATGTGTTTACCGAGCCGTTGCCTAGCAATGGTCATATTCATCAAAATATTTTTATTGCCTCTTAGAGAATGGTTGAGCCGAATGTTGACGGATGTGACAGAATGATATACTCTGAAAATACAGAGAAATTAGCTCAGATTTTCACCGTGGTGACTTAAGATTTTAGTGTTTTGTGCTGTGTGTGTGTCGCCGTGAAAGCGGATACAGAAGTTTCGGGCATGTTCAGCCTCTGGCTTCGAGAGTGAAGTGTGTGGGGTGATGAAGCACGCATGCGCGATTGTAATCTCACACAACACCAATATTATTTTATTGCAGAGAGATTCTATAATTAGTTGGTTATTTAGTTAACTGTACTCTGTAAACTGAAGGCATATTATTACTGATATATATATATATATGAAAGAAAAACAATATGAATACTACTAAATTCAACATGATTTATGAGAAACAGCATTTAAGTTAGTGACCATGATACTGAATTCCAAATATTGGGAATTATCATGCAAATGTGGGGTAGGGGGGTGGAGTGAAGTGCCACTATGCACTTACTGGGGTGCCTGCTGTCCTGCCGGCTCGTTCCGGGTGAAGCAGGTTATCCAGCAGGATGGTTCACGTTTCTTCTTCGTCCTGTGTAACACAGCAGGCAGCAGGCACAAGAGCACGCATAGACAAATATAGCAATTACTTGCCCGCCAAACAATGGAGCCACTCTTCCGCAATAAACAGGATGTATCAGAACTCAATGGCAAAACTTCAGGCACAGACTCCTCATGTAGAGAGAAGAAACAAAGTGTGTGACAATATTGGTCTGGAAATGCATAATTACAGAGTTATCTGAGCCTGTAATTTATGGAGTGTACGCCGACACATCCTGTTTGCCGGAATAAAAATGTGAGACACCGGTTACAGTTATTACACAAGTAATCATGCTGCATGATGATGCTCCCGCACATTTCAGTCTATCTGCCCGCAGACACCTTAATGCACATTATCCTGGGTGCTGAATAGGTAAAGGTGGACTGATTGCTTGGCCACCGCGCTCTCCTGACTTAAACCCTTTCGACTTTTAGCTGTGGGGACACTTAAAAGTCTATCGTATATTCGACTGCTGTTCCTGATGTACCAACTCTCCATGCACGCAATGTGGTAGCCTGTCAGACAGTATGCACTACACCGGGCATTTTTGATCTTGTGCGGCACTCAATGCGATGACGAGCAGAGGCCAGTATTCAGACAGGAGGAGGTCACTTTGTGACATTTCCTCTGATATGTGACCAGAGTGTTCTGGCTGGCGTTACAGACGTATTCAGTGTAACAGTGCAACAGTGTTAGGAGTGTCGGATTGCACTAACATTACTAAAAGGTCAGATAACTCTGTAATTATGCATTTCCGGAACTATGTTGTCATACACTTTGTTTCTTCTCTCTATATGAAGAGTCTGATCCTAAAGACTTGCCGTTGAGTTCTGATACATTCTGTATAATTAAAAATTTTATTTTCTGTGTTTTAGTTTTTTGCTAAAATTTCCCAGACTTTATGTAAATATCTCAAGAGAAAGTCTAAAGGGCATAAACCTTTAAAGGAAGATGTAATTGATATCAAGTGGAAGCTAACTCTTTCAGAAACAGAAATTTTGAGTTAATGGTTATGAGGTAAATATTAAAATACATTCTTGTTCAGTAATACATGTTGACTGCTACAAACTGAATGTTCAGCATTATTCAGCTAAATTTCAGATCATGATCACCAATATTAATTTCAATTTGGTACTACTTACAATATTAACCTTATCATTGTTATTCACATAATATCTCAGACACATTCTAAATCACTATTTTATGCTTTTTGTAGGACTCCAGAGAATATTAACAATATTTTGGTCTTATTGCACCATTTATTCATGTATAATTATCTTAAATAGAGACTTCTGTCAAGCTTGTCAGTACACATAATTGTGAATACAAGATTAAAGAAGCACTGATTATGAGTAAAATGATCATATTTAAGTTAATGTTGAAGAGCAGTTCCATGTTGGCTTCTTGTCACTTAGGTGCAATGGTATAATTGTGAGGGCAAGCTGTAGGACCATGAGAAATATTAGCAAGCAAATTCTTCCAACAGGTCAAGTTCTGCCTTCTTTCATGTACCATATGCATTAAAAGACAAGGAATAAGATGCAGAAAAAAGTGCACAATATGAAATATAATTCAAGCCATTGTTTTGTAAGGATACAGAAACAGTGCAAGAACTTTGAGCTACTTTCAGTGACATACTCCAGTACCATAACATTAAATTTCTGTGTAGATGCTACATTTAAAATTTTAAGTCACTGAAATATTGCATCTATATTTTGGTGGGTGATGTGTCTTGTGTGCTTAATTGTAAGCCAAGTGTATAGTGTAATTACCTATGAGTGACAGAGGGAATATTTTCTGAACCATAGGAAATTACTATATTAATTAAATAAGGTTAGGATAAGACATGTTGTGCTATGATTTGCCTCTCGAGGTTTGATCTGTCTAGCCCAGCTTCAGAGAATCTGGTAGCCATTTTACAGACTTGACAAATCAAATTTCAGTGTTCTCAGCATTTATGAAGTTAATATGAATGTTGAAATACATATTTTTAATATTCATAATGTAATATATTTTTCTCTGTATTGAATCAACCAAATCAGATAATTTTTTATACTTATACTTATTTTCTACACAGTGTAAGGAGTTTATTTCAAATCCACAAAGCTTTCTAAAATGTCAAATATTCGTGGCACCATATGTGACATTAGGAATATGTAGTGTGATACCTCCACACCACCACATATTTTCGGGGTATGATGGTTAATCAAAGATAGGGACAATTTTATACCATACCATAATTCCTGTAGTGCAGCCTGCTAAGAGAAAGTGAACTGTGTTTATTGAACCACAACATGTGGATCAAGACTTTCTAAAGAATATGAAGTGCTTACAGGAGAATGTGGCATATAAAGTGATGGCTAGTATTATTGCTATGAGGCTTATTCAAATGAAACCATTTTGGGGGATGTTGTGGTTGAAACAGAAGGGCTCTTAAGAAGGACCCACATGGACACTGAGTCAGGCATTACAGTCACAGAATAACTGATGGATCCCATTTTCAAAGAACTCTGTGGGCTTCTGAAGTCTCATGAACACAACCACATGATCACCTTCAGTTAAATGCATTCTCTAGCAGTAATGGGAACAGGTTTCATTTGAACAATCGTCATTCACTGAGGGCACAGTAACAAGCAGGAACAAACATATAAATATCTTTGATTGTGAGATGACATACTTTAATTTTACTAGATGTGTATGAGAGTAGCAGATAGGTTTAAAGAATAAAGCTAAGTCATGCAGCGGACAAAGTGTCTTAATATGACAGAAATGCATTAGCAGAATCAAATGAGATATATTTGTAGATTTTTAGTCTTCATAGAGTCATACTGCAGAGTGGGGGATATGTATGGCAATAGGGTATTTTTCACATTTGTACTGACAGATATTTATGTATGTACATACATACATACATACATTCATACATACATACATACGTACATACATACCAAGTATGGAAACTTGCCATATAACAAAAATCATCTAGGATTGTTTAAGAATGAAATTTTATTTTATTTTCCTGTTCTTTCTTGTTACCATATTATGTATGAGCTGCCATATTTGAACTTGCCAACAGGATTTTGTATGCTTTTGTACATGCACAGGTTCCCTTTTACTAGGTATAGAAGAACTGTCAAGAATATGGTCCAATGATGAAAAAGTACTGGTGATGATGTCACGTGTCACAGTGACTATGAAACAGGTTTCGATTGGTAATCAGATTTATTGGATACTTACAGGTCCATTAACTACAAATAATTGTAACACAATTGCCGATTTACACAATTTACAATTACTCCCTACTAATCTTCTCAGTCTCGCTGCACTAGCCCTCACGGATTTATAACACAGGAACTATAAAAGTCTCACTAAATCACATACTCCAAATATCACTGTGCTACAGCATACATAAAGGCTTCATGGATTTATAACACAGGAACTACAAAAGTCTCACTGAATCCACGCACTCCCAACATCACTGTGCTACAGCACACATAAAATCACACGTCAAATCTCCACAGGCTGAGTTCTTGTACTCTGCTTTAACTACGAACTTCACGTGACTATCTCATACCAAGAACTGACTCGTTCCTGAACCGAACTAATTCTGTCACTTATAGAGGTTAGGAATGGACAGGCATCACAGGAAACACATATCACGTGACTACCACCCACCACTACCTGATGTTACTGTGGACATGGAAACCACACCCTCCTCTCTTACTGTGTGTTGGACCACGTTTACAGAGCTGTTGCCTGGCAATGCGTTGATAAGACATTACAATATATTGTTTTCACTTAACAACTAAGTGACTGACCAAACAGGCTCAAGTGTATAGTGTTTCTGATTTATAGTCTGGAGGTATCCAGACACTGACAATCCTGACCAAGGTTTATCATATTTTTCATGAGGTTCTCCAGTCAAACAATGAGATAGTACTTCAAATTAGGCACAACCACTTCTTCCACATCCTTTTCAATTCATCATTCACTAGTCATTATTTCAGTCTGTAACTGTTTAATGGCATTCAAACTGTTTAATTGCATATCTTAATATTCACTCATATGCACTATATGGTAAAATTTCATGTAATAGAACATATGATCTAAGTTGAGGAGTTGGGGTAGCACAGTCGGTATAGTGACTGGCTACAGGCTAGATGACCAAGGACTTGGAGTTCGAAACCAAGTAGGGTCAAAAATGTTCTCTTCTCCAACGTCATCCAGACCAGCTCTCAGGCTCATCCAGCCTCCTATCCAATGGGTACCAGGGGCTCTCTCCCAGGGGTAAAGCGGCTGGGGAGTGAAGCTGACCACTCACCTCTAACTAGTGCCTAGGTCAAGAAACTCTGGATCTATACATCCATTCCCCCATATGCCTTCATGGCATAGTGCTTAATTAGTAGAGCACAGGGACAACTTTACCTTTAAGAATAACTACAGAACTTCGGTCAAATTTAAAATGTGTGACTAACGTTATATTTTCACAGAAGACATCAAAATTTCACAGCAGTTACTTACTAATGTAGAACCTATTTTGGGGTGATGCCACTATGTAGAAGTTACCCACATGACCGGTATTTTGTAGATTCTTTCTATCTCCATCTTCAGGACAAAGTGACCACCCAATAAACCTGCTAATATGTAGGGTGTAGGTCCATAGTTTTGAGTCTCACAGCCAGAGGCCAGTAGTTAGTCATGTCACTGCGAGGATGGAAACAACAAGGATCTCTGAAATTCCAGCAGATTGGCCTAACTCTACACTGTGTCATCACTCTGCAGTGCATTCTTATTTTCTGATCTTTGGTCTGCAGACTATACAAATTCATTTCTAAGAGTCATGGAAGTTTGTACACCATTCAGACAGTATGACTCCATGATAATTCGAATATATAGTTCACAAGCAGAAAAAAAATATCGGAAATATGAGGGTCAGGAAAACGGTAGACACTATAATTAACAAGCATGCTGCTGTAGTAAAATGTATTGATTAGGTTTGCACATTTGTAAAAATCATTAATCAAAAATAGGAATCTCTGAAGTTTGAATGCTGAAATATTAATTTAACAGTATTCAAAGGCTTTATTTCTTTACATACCATGCCTCTTTGACACAGAAACTGATCATACAGGCACAAGACTGAAACTGGTACATGCTCTCTTAAGAGAGTTGTACATAAGCAGACTGTCACACATACTGGTGAACATAAATTAAGCTTCTCAAAAAGCAATTTATTATCATGCATTTTATGTTGATATAAATATAGTGGTCATCATTTTAAAACTGTAAGAGCAGATCTTCTTCCAAAATTGAATAGAAACAAGAAGTTATTAAAATTCAGGTCAATAATGTAATGAAGTGATAAATTTCAAATAAAAAGCAAACAAAATCATTGATGGTGCAGGATAAAACTCAACACTCATGAACAAGTAGTCAAATATTTGTCTCTTGTGAGGTATAAACCAATGCCTTTGGACTCCATGCACTTTCATCAGCAGTAGGACGGAATATTTTGAATATCAAGAACTTCATGTAATAACAAAATGAACCCTACCAGAAAGTAGGAAGCCATGAAGGCACAATGGTCTGTGAAAGCAATACACAATATATTGTTGACCACAATCCTAGGAAAGGTCAGAAACTAAAATCAAGTAAAGGATATGAAAATTTACTACCATGAAATAGTAATTTCCAAATATGAAATTTTAATTTGAGTTTATAATAGGAATTACTTTATGCACATAATGTTTATTGTTATGATGAGCTACCTGTAAACCTACAACAAAACTTGCATTCCACTTGCTTAAAAATAATATTAGAATATCAGGTCGTTTCTGGATTCCAAGCAAAAATTAATTGTGGTACGTAGTATTTTTTAGCACATAGAAAACATATTAGGCTTTTGTAGCTCAAGTTTCTAGTATGTAATTACAGTTCTCTTTTGTAGGCCATATTGCAAGGATGAGGCTAGTATTCGTCGTATGACACAGCCAGTAATTGACAGCATTCATTGTAAAAACTGCATAGTTTTTCAAGAGTCATTCAGGAAATCGATAATTCTCTTCCTAAATGTTACTCCTCATGTGTACATGCCTAAGTGCGGCATAATTAAAATCAAAATACCTGAAAATTTTGGGGGTTTTGCCCAACATTTCATAATCTTGGCTGAATTCAAGTCTGTTGTATGTGTTATCAAGATAATTTCTTTTTACATATTCAGATTTATAAGAAAAGGGTAACCACAAATGGACAATATACTAATCAAAGTAAGACACTTTTTAAAATTGGGTTAAATATAGAATAAACATCGACAGAGTATATACAGGGTATATCACAAATTATACAAGTGTCTCTGATTTACAAACTATGATCTAAGAGGAACTGAAAATTTGATAACAAGCCAGTATGTGTTTGATAGTAAATTAATAAGTAAATTGTTATAGTAAGTGTAGATGGCCAATGTAGGAAATAATCTTAAAGATTTTATAACCTCATACTACTGACATTTAACCAACCATAACTGGGGGAGAATTTTGGGTTTACAATAATTTTGGTGTTTTATATTAAATGTAGAAATTTCAGTAGATTCAAAACTGTGAAACTGTTTGTTTAATACTGTAATTTTATTTCATGCCTTCAGTCAATATGAGTAACATCAGCAAAGGCATGAAAGAAATTATATTCATATTATGCTAAGTACAGTATATTTGAAAATGAATGAGCCATGACCACTGGATTAACATTTCTATACTTATGAGAAATCACAAAATATATTAATTTGTGTCATTTCAAACTGACTCACCTCCTGCTTGGCTTAATTCCATGTGCCTCCAGTTCTTTCTGTAGTTGTCTAATCTTCATGCGTGCGAGATCCAGCTCATGTTTTACTTTCCATAAATGTGTATCACATATGGGGTCCCGACAACGATGATGCCTTAAAATGTCCTGAGCCTCAAAGACTGCGCCACGAAATGTCAATGATTTACCCATACTCTGAAATCAGTTTATACAAACAATTTAGTTATTGTGTAAGATTTGAGATTTTTGTGGTGACTATGAATAAAGCAGTCTTCTGGACTTTGGCACCGTGTATATGTGGTGTTAACTGATGTTCCTCCGAAATGTCGGTTAACACCACATCTACACGGTGCCACAGCCCAGAAGACTGCTTTATTCATAATTTAGTTATTAGTAAAATAACCATTAACTTCATTTTTACCAATTATTATATGATTTCTGTTCACCAATATACCTTGATTATGAAAATCTGATAGTTAGTTATGAAACATAATCTCTGAATCCTTTCTTCTTGAAAGTGAAACACACCTAATAAACTTCATGTTATTAATTTGTTTAATAGTGTTGCAAAAATAGTAGATAAACTTCTCGATAGCTAGCTCAGTCCAGTCAACATATATATAGGAGTGTTTCCATGGAAAATTTATGCTGGGTGCATATTCTTTTTCCAGAAATACTGAATACATTTCAAGTCTGGTATTGGCTCGTTGTGCTAAAAGACATTAGGCATTGGTCTGGGTGGGTTCACAGCAAATGCCATATTACATGAGATCAAATTTTGTTTAAGATCCCACATTCTTTAGAACACAACAGATCCTTAAAAATGCAAGCATTAATCACTAGAAACTATAAATATCTCAAGGTAATGTAAAGCTGTCCCTGTAACTGGCCGTGAAGGCTCACAGGGTTGTGAGATGTTGAGGCTCCCAAATTTTCTAGACACTCTGCTCACAGATGGTGGTGATCTGATCATTCCATTAATACAGGACAAGGAGTACAAATCATGAACCTTTTCATTGCGCAGTTTTTTCTGAATTCCTGTTACTTTAAACAAGGAAGCAGGATAATCAAGCACTGTTTATACTCACAAGACTGATGAGAGCACAGCACCCTCCTTGATCCGTCTTGGCCAGACGTTTCCGCACATATTTGAAATACATATGTTCAAGGGCTAACAGAACAGCAGCCAACAGGATGCCTGACATGAGCAGCAGGAAGGCAGACAAAAACTGTTCTAGGGCCAGGGGATCACTTGACTTGTGCTCCTGCTTCCCGGGCTTACATGTCCCCGTCATCCAGTACCGCCGCAATCTCTCCAGATCGCCTGTTATAAGAATCCCAACATTCTTTTCAAATATTCACAACATTGTATTTCAGCATCCTGCTACACTGGTTAACGATTTAATTTGCAGGCGTGGTTCCGAAGATGAAATTTCTTGTCATGCTTGCAGATTATGGGTCTCTTTCCTATTAATTATTTTACAAATAAGTGATACCATAGCACACCAACAGCCTATTAGCACAAGAAGAAATCACGCCTTGAAGACTGACCCTGAAAATTAAATGTTTGTTAATCTTAATCCTTTTATTAGGTTGCCCAGTACACTAAATAGGGTATAACTAATGCTGTGTGTTAGAAGAACCTTCAAATTCCATAACATTAATACCGAAGTGTTATCTATGCCCCTATCTTACTATAATCCATCTTCACACTGTTTTCTCATCGCATTCTGTCTCTTATGCTTGATGTTTTTCAGGAGGTAACCCCATCAGAATTTTGTATGGATTCCTTGTCCCTTATCCAAGCCACATACTCAGACCGTTGTAGGCTCCTAACTTTCACTGTCCTAATAATATTGCAGTGTTTTTTCATTAGAATTGGCAGCTGACACTTAGCAAAATTCGCGTTTTATGAAAATCAAAATTTCATGATGCTACATTTGGCAACACTATATGTTCTATGTTTCCTTGCGTCCTCCCCTCTCCATTAATTTCTTGCCAAGCCAAAATACCTGTGAACTGTGCATGTCTCAGCACCCGTTCTAATGGAAAACATTGCAGATGAACTGTATACATTTACAGAGTGGTGGTACAAATTGGTAAATTAGCTCCTGTGCATTAAGCACCACGCCATGAAGATATATGGGGGAATGGCATTCTTAACCTTGGCACTAGATAGAGGTGAGTGCTCAGCTTCATGTCCAGGCCACTTTAACCCTGGGTAAAGAGCACATGGTATCCATTGGACAGGAGTGTAGGTGGGCCACAAAGCTAATCTGGGCACTGGGTATAAGGGAAAAATCTCTTTCCCTTACCAGCAATCAAACCTCAGTTCCTCAATCATCTAGCCTAATCCTCATACCGACTAAGCTGTGTTGCATAAATTTTAACATTCATGTCTGAGGTACACAAGAAATGCAATAAATTATGACTCTTTGATATAAGTGCCATTACCCAACTTACTCTGTATTTTTCTTATCCTCTAGCTGCTATGTATTTAGACTAATTTCCTTATTATTCTCTGTCTCTATATACAGGAATTTTCCTATTTCTTTCCTACTCCTTAGCAGTGTTCCCTCTATCACTTGACTCGACTTGTCTAACCTGAAACACTAGCACTGAACAGGACAGCAAGAAGTAAAAAATATATATATATATATATATATATATATATATATATATAGGTATATATATATATATATATATATATATATATATATATATATATATATATATATATATATATATATATATATATATATATATATATATATATATATATATATATATATATATATATATATATATATATATATATATATATATATATATATATATATATATATATATATATATATACAGGGTGTCCCAGGAGGAATGTGCCAAACTTCGGGAGGGTGTTCCTTATGTTAAAGTATGCCGATATAACCCAAAACACCTATGTCCAAAGTTGAACGGTTACGGAGATAATGGCCCAAGAAAAGTGTGGTCTTCTGGCAGGTCCAAGCACTGTACCTCGCTGTACCTCTCAGCTGAGAGCCCTTATCTATGTTTGTCCTTGAGTGCGATGATACTCCCTAGCCGTGCTTATGTAGTTGGCTCATACCAGAACGCGCAGTCAGCACGTTACGTCATCGCTCGCCAGTCATGTGTTATGTATACTGCTTGGAAACCTAAGGACAATTATGACATGGCGAGCGAGTATTTTGTACTTCAATTTTATGGCTTTCCGTCACTCACAAGTTGGTTTGATGTTACGTACATTATTAACATTACAGAATCCACATATTCCTGCCAGTTTTAATATCTATTTTGTAATCAACAAGTGTGTAACCCCGGTCAAAGTTTGACACTTCTCTGGCCATTATCTCCGTAACCGTTCAACTTTGGACATAGGTGTTTTGGGTTATATCGGCATACTTTAACATAAGGAACACCCTCCCGAAGTTTGGCACATTCCTCCTGGGACACCCTGTATATATATCCCTGTAATAACCCCATGGAGGCCCATATGGTTGTAAGACGTTGAGGCTCCTACATTATCTATACAATTGGCTCACAGATGGCAGTGAAGTTGTCAGCCTTATGCACTCAATTCTGTTAGAGGTTGAGTTGACCCCCAGGTTTATATTGTGACTGGAAGGATTAAGTCAATTGAAACAGCCAATGACCTAATTGGGAATCAACCTGTGACCTTTCAGGTTGTAGCATAGTGCATATTATAATAGACAAACAAACAATAACAGGATGGAAACAACAAAGAACAAATTTGTTATTCGATATTTGCATCTAAGGGCCATAACCTATATATTTTAGCGTATTTTAGACACACTTGTAAATGGCTTTTCGAAATTAGGTAGATGCTGCAGTTCAGAATTAGGCAGATGTTCAAAATCATTAGAATAACCAGGAAAATGACCAACATGTAACGAAAGGAAATTATTAAAATGTATAATCTGGAATTAATTCATATATGTCCTATTGTTCAGAGTGATAACTGACTTCTTAGGACACTGAGAAACATTTTCATCAAAATGACACCCTCTGGAATGAAATCAGTACTGGCTAAGAGAATCTAACCCCATTTCCGGCACTTACTACTGATGTGAATTTTAAAAACTCTAATACCATTTACATTTTGTGAACACCCATGTAGACAACAGAATAGTCAAGTACGTAGGCAGCATGTGATCAGTTACTGATTAAATATGCATGCCCTATTGGATGGTTTTAATTATGTTGAATTATGAAAGATACAATGGTAACAATCATATATTTAAAATTATATTCCTCATTATTTATACAATTTATGAAATTTATTAAAAATGCATATAGAAAATAGATCTGTTATACAAATGTTCATGAACATTAAGTAACAGGTTATTACATAAGTTTGATATAAAACAAACAAATAAACAGCTACCTTATTTTGTTATTATCTATTCTAAGAAGAGACATGGATGTATTAATAATTTATATATTCTTACCATTTTCTCGAAAGTCTAGCAGGCTCTTGCTGAACATCTGGACATATTTGGAGTTGCGATTGAAAGCAAGTCCGTATCCTGTCATGGCATACCAGGAGCCCACAGTCAGCAGACGACAGTCCTCATCTTGAGCCACCAGGTAGTCCAGTACTGTACCGTCATATATAAAGGCATCTAACTCCCTGTTCAAGCAGCACAGAAATGATATTTTAGCAAGCGCTAATATTAATCTGTTGTAAGTTTGAAGGTAAAATTGTTCCTACAGATAAATTCAACACCATTAGGACAATAACTTATGGATGAACAGAGAAAAAGCTCTACACTCTTAATGTCGGCACTAGATGGAGGTAAGATATTCTGACATTCCTGAACATACTTGAAACCCAGTAGACGTAATCAAGAGGCCCCTTGATAAGATTTTCTCAGACTATTAGCCTTATCAACTGGTTAAAAATTGCCATGTTTGAGGGATCACCTCTCTCCTCATCTTCAGAGAATGATGTGACATAAAATCAGAGTCAGAGTCAAGAGTTGCTTTGTGACTGTTTACTGCCAGTCAGTTCACCTTGGCATCAAGCCTTGAGGATCATGGCCAGAGTTTTTTTTTTTTTGCAATTGAACTTTTGCGGCCATAGTCCTTATGTAATATCCTCTCTGACAAGAGGCTGGGTTGTCATAAGTCAAATTTAAATTCAAAGCCATGTTGTGACCGATGGTTGGTCAGTCATTCAATACTCTTATATGAGTAGTATTTATTTATAATCAATTTATTTAAATGCTGTCAGTAATTTAAGGTATAATATAAGTTGATGTTGGTGAATAATAAATTGCCAAGTTGTTGGAGAAAGCAGTCCTGGCCTAATATGAGGTACTGATGAAAACCAAGGAAACCTTCAGTCAGAATAGTCAGTACCTTGACCAAGATTTAAACTGCATATCTTCCAAATGCAAATCAGATGCATTAGTGCTCGAGCCAAATTCATGGCACTATCTCTTCTCAGCAGCACATAATCTACATAAACCTGCTTTGTTCTTAAACATAACATTTGGAAGTTAAATGAAATAAAATTGTTTTTCTGAAAACTAAATTCCTGCTCTGTAAACAGGGAAGTTCCAGGTCATAGATGAAGCTCGAAATTAAAAGTCTTAGGATGTGACCATGTACTGTCTGGTCAGGGCTTGCATACACCGCATGGAGGAGTGATAAATAAACATGGAACAATAGTGGAATGATGATCAGTGGGGGAAAATCGAAGAAACCAGGAGATCTTGCTCTCATGCCACCTATCTACCATGAATCTTACATGAAGTCACCTGGGATTAAACCCAGGCCTCTGAAGTAAAAGGCCAGCATCTAAGGATCTGAGCTATGAGATGTCAAGAAATGTAAAGTTGTCCCTGTACTTAAATTACGCACCATACCTTGAAGACATATGGGAGAACAGAGGTGTCAGTCCATGCACTGTTTAACCATCGCACCAACTAAAGGCAGGTGACTGGTTTCCTGTTGCAGCTGCTTCATTCCAAAGGAAGAGCCCCAGGTACCCACTGGATAGGAGACTGGGTGGGGCCCAAAGATGGTCTCAACACTACTGAGAGGAGATGGATTTCTTTCTTCTACTGGGAATCAAACTCCATTTCCTTGGTTTTCAAAGTCATGAGTGCGCTATCCCATTTCCACAAAAATATTACTATTAATACTTAAGCACAAAATTAAATATAATGACAATACTATTCTGCAAGATGATCTCTGTACAGTGCTACTAATGTATATGTTGACATATAAATATACAGCCAATTAAAGTGAGAATGAGCTCATTCTTGTCTATGCATACGATTGTACTAACAGAATCCTGGCTGGGCATCCTATACACATTAACCCTTTTGGCATGTATTATTTTCTCACCATTCTCCTAAAGTAACACAATTACAAACAAATAAAACAAACAAGCGAACTATATCGACCGAGCGACCACCGCTTGTTGGCGAAGTTAGTGCAAACTTTAGAGGATAGAGGACGTCGCTTGGTCAGCGTAACGAATCCCCATGGCCGTTAATTTCGGTTTTCTAGACCGGAGCCGCTATTTCCTTGAAATAGCTCCTCAATTATCCTCATGAGGCTGAGTGGACCCCGTTCTCAGAAAATCTGGTAGTGCCGAGAATCGAACCCGGACCCCTGGATCTGTAGTCAGGAACTCTGACCACTAGACCACAGAGGCTTCACACACAATTACAAGGTAAAAGTATATATACAGTAAAACTTGGTTATAGCAACATCGGTTTCTGCGACACCTTGTCTATTGCGTCAATTATTCAATGGTACGAACTAATTCCTCATAGAGCAACTGTTTTTATACCTTGCTTAGTACGACATGCACAAATGCATCAACCTCGTATGTAACGTCATTTTCATTCCTGAATTTCTCTGATATGGACATTGAACGTAATTTAGAAAGTGTGTATTGGGCAAGTAACAGGAAACAGATGAAGATAACTGATTACTGTACTCGTATCTAGGTACAGTAAGGCACAACAATTGATGTAATCTACTGTAATTTGGTGAGTAGGCCTACCTTTAATATACAGTATTATTAGGGTGTGTATTGTCAGTGAAAAGCGCTGTA